CTGGCATGTGGTGCTGGGGGATTGAACCGCGGTCCCTGTGCTTTGCTAAGCTTGTTCTAAGTAGGTGCTTTAGACCACTGAGCCATCTCACCAGCCCACGATAATCTAGTCTTAAAGGATAAAAAACTTCACTGCAGGGGCCGGGGAGATGGCTCAGTAGAATAAGCGCTTGCCTGGCAAGCGCGAAGGTCTGAGTTCAAATCCCTAGTTCCGCAAAAAAACAAAACAAAACAAAAAAAACCTTCACTGCAAAAACTGTCTTACCTTTTTTTTCAATAAACCTCTCCCTCTCAGCAGGATGTCAACAATGAAAGGTCATACATAGAAGAGGTTTGAAGAGACAAACCTGCTACCCTAGACTAGTAGAATAAGCTCCTAAATGACCAGAATTGTTTTGAATAGTTTGAAGCAAATCTTAAGCATGTTCAGAAAATACAGCGTGTGTGCTTTATTTCTAGTGCCTGTCTTCAGTTGCCACGGCCCTGCAGTCTGGCTTCCTTCCATACTGTGAACCTGTGTATCAGCGTTGTGTAAATCTAGTACAGAAGACTCTTGCACAAGCCATGGTATTTTATTTTAAAATGTCTTTTCCTTCCTACATCATAAACACTTGTAAAGATAATGCATGTGTCCAGACTTTTTCAGTAACCAATTAAAAGGCAAACATATTGTTTGATTTCAGCTAAACAATGCTCAACCAGATCAATATGAGGCTCCAGATAAAGATTTTATGATAGTGGCCCTTGATTTGCTCAGTGGCCTGGCTGAAGGACTTGGTGGCAACATTGAACAACTAGTAGCTCGAAGTAACATCCTAACACTAATGTATCAGTGCATGCAGGTAAGACTTGTATGATTAAAATGAATTGAACCCAAGTTGTCTGTGTCACTTTGGAGTTAACCACTTCTCCTTTCTTGTAGGATAAAATGCCAGAAGTTCGACAGAGTTCATTTGCCCTGTTAGGTGACCTGACTAAAGCCTGCTTTCAGCATGTAAAGCCTTTTATAGGTATGAATATTTTCTATGGGTGTAGTTTAAATTATTTTTATATCTGATTTTTATTTTATTAAAAATAAGTTTCATAGGAGCTGGTGAGATGGCTCAGTGGTCTAAAGCACCTACTTAGAACAAGCTTAGCAAAGCACAAGGACCGCGGTTCAATCCCCCAGCGCCACATGCCAGCCAGCCC